GACGTGACGTGATGATCTCGGCGTTTAAAAGGGAAAGAAGATGAGGAGGGGGGTGGGGGGTGGGGGAGGGTGGAATAGAGGAGGATTAAAATCGCAGAATAGTAGCCTATCTATCACAAACGGAAGTAACGGTATAATAATTATGGACATATCGAAGAGAAACGCTTATCGCGTTAAAACGACCTCTATCGCAATGGTGACAATTAGTACTAGCAATTCACAGAGATTTTTCACCGCGGCCGACGTCTTGCGGCGCTGTATGGCAGCCATTTTGTCACCTGAAACACAGTTCAAATTAATTACAATCAGTGAAATTTGTTTCACAAAAAGATTTGATACATGTTTATGAATTAATTTGTTCAGAGAGATTTATACACGTGAGTCGAAATGACAGAAGTAACACGTTGTTGGATAGAGAAAAGGTCCTCCGGCGTAAAAATAAAGAAAAGCTTCGCAACGAAAAGAAACGATTAATTGTCTTATTGTTTGGGACGGGGAGAAAATTGTTGAATTGTCGTGTACCTTCTGTGACAAAGACATAGATGGATGCCGGCTTGGTATTCGAGGCGCTGCACGTATAATTGCCTGTGTCCGATTCCACCGCATGGTAAATCGTCAGCCGACTTTGAGTCGAACTGGAATCGGTTTGTACGGTTACGCTGCTGCCTCGCGTAGTATCGTAATTTATCATTCGATTATTGTGATACCAGAAAACGTACTGCGGCGGTGTTGGACTCTGCAAAATCGTGAGAAAACATTGTATTGCACATAAAAACGATTACGGGGATCGTTATTCTCTCGAGGCGATCGCTGCTTGGTAAATTATTGTACCGAGACGACTCAATTCAATTTTCAACTTCTACAAAGACCGGACGAGTTTTTCAAGCGATAACGATTAACACTAAACGTATCGGTATTTCCTATATATCTATCGCTATCGTAATCGATCAAATGTTTTTTTTTTTTACGAAAAAAGTATCAAAAAAGTAATTGCCGGTTTGATACAGGAAACAATGCACTAAATGGAATAAAAAGAATTACATTTTCCATTTTTTTTTTTTTTTTTTTTTTTGACGAAAGGACGCAGAGTTTGAAATCAAATTTTTGAACCGGTCATTTGATTAGGGCCATTGGTACACGTTCAGTATCAAAAGTATAAAAATTGTCAAACGCATTTGCAAATAGAACTGCACTAACGGGGCTGATGAAGAGTTTCATGAAACCTTAGTTCACTCTGTGCTCCTTTAATTTTTCGACGATCGAAATGTCATTTTCACGCGCATTGCCACGGTGAGTTTCGTATCGATTCTCGATATCGGGGCCAACGAAAGTCGTCTCGTCGTCGTCTGGCGTAATTGTCAGCCGGGATAATTGTCGAAAAACGACATGCACCTCCCAGTGTGTCTAATATTTTCCCCTCGGAAACGCGAACAGGTGTACATTATACAGGGTGGATCAAAAATCATTTCCCCACCGAGATAAAGAATCCGTAATCTTTTTTCGAGAAAAGATCACTGCTCGAGCTTGAACTTAATTTGAAATCGACAAGACTAAGTTTCTCCTTAAGTTTTTCGATTGAAGAATATATCGGCATGAAGGAGAGCCTATTTTGGCCCACTCTGTACAAGTAGATATTTCTCGTTGTTCGCTCACGCGGAACAAAAGGGCTGGGGGAAGGGAGAGAAACATCGAAACGTGGCGTGAAAATGTTTTTTCGATGCGCGTCTGGTGTCTGAATCGAGCGCGAAGTGGAAACAGAAACGTCGAAGCTCAGCCACTTTCGCAGCACAAATTTCGTGGGAGTTTCTCGGCGCCAGAAACGCAAATGCTTCCTCCATCTCGTCTCAATTTCATCGAGGGACAGCTTGGCGATCGTTCTCCGTATTGTTTCGAACGTGTGAACGTATGCGTCGATCACGTCGATCGAAACACAACGGCGCCATTTCCCGGCGTTATTTCGCGCCGTGAGTTCACGTGCACGAGATTTTCATAAGACGATATATATTGTAGTACATCGAAATTATTACAATGTATAGTTATTTTTAGTTATTATTAGTATAGTTATTTTTATATTTTTAGTTATATATTGTAGTTATAGTTATTTCTATATTTTAGTTATAGTAATATATAGACGATATATATTGTAGTATCGAAATTATTACGATGCATAGTTATTTTTAGTTATATATTATAGTTATAGTTATTTTTATATTTTAGTTATAGTAATATATAGACGATATA